GTCACATGGGCGGAAAGCCACTCCCACAAAGGAGGCCACATCCACAGAGTAGGTTCCAACAATTTTTGAAACCCACCACTGGTCAGAACATTTATCTCAAGTTAGAACATTTCAGCAAAGGATAACTACATGTGTCCTGTGAGTAGCATCAACCCATCTTTTAATTTTGTGATCTGTACGATGGTATGGAAAAACTGGACACATACATCTTTGCTTGGGGTTTTTTGTGTTCTCTCTCTAATGCTAGGCTAAATAGTGACTACCGTTTCACACTTCTTGGACTTCTTTTAGCTGCATTCTTCATGTGTCTAATTTCTTTCTGTAGGAACGGAGGTGGACGGAGTGGTACCTTCTGCGCCTGCACCATGATCCTGGAGATGATCAGGTGTCACAAGCTGGTGGATGTTTTCTTTGCCGCAAAGACCCTTCGCAACTATAAGCCAAATATGGTCGAGACCTTTGTAAGTAACGAGTAGCATTGATCTGACCTATTTCTTCTAAAGAGTGCTCTGGTATTTCTTCAAGAAATTATGGAACTTGCTCCCGTAAAAGGTGGCAATGACTTACAAAAACTGAAGGTGGATCAAAAGAAGGTCCATACTCAGAAGCTTATACCAATTACTGTGAACCTTTGATATGGAAATTCTGTGGAATCATCACAGCTGGTAGAATTCAGCATGCTACTAAATGAGAATAAAACAGTAGAAATTTTCATTCATGTCATGCTTAGAAATGTCTGGGAAGAAATTGGTTGCCCTTATGAAGAAAAAAAGCTACTATAGATGGAGATTTACTCTGATCCCTAGTGTCAGGTGGTATAAGCTTCTTGGTTTGATGAAATGGTAGGCAACTGGTTTTCCCATTTGTGCTTTGCGACTTCTGCAATGAAAATAGATTCTTAGTATGCCACATTCACACACACATACGCACAAACACACACGCATGTATATACATAGATATAGGGGTGGGCTTCAAAAATTGCAGCAACGGGTTCTCTGCCCCGTGGCTGGGTGGGTGTGGCCATGGTGGGCATGGCCTAGTCGGGCTCCTGCACCATGGGGGGAGGGGGGAATTTATCGCAATCTCCAGGCTCCGGAGGCTTTCCTCGAGCCTCCGGGAGGGCAAAAACTGGTTCCCCTGGCCTCCAGAGACCCTCTGGAGGCTGGAAACAGGCCCATTTTCCCCCTTCCCCATGCCTTTGTGCAGGCCTTGTACTTACCTAGCATGATGAAGGAGCTGCGTGGAAACTCCTGGGAGGGGAGTGGACAGGGTGGGAGGGAGAGGCATTTAGGGGTTCACCGAACTGGGCAGAATCCTAGCTAGAGGATCTCCCGAACCCGTGCGGATCCCCAGCAGCCCACAACTGGTGTGTATGTGTATGTGTGTGTGTATGCACCCTGTTTTCCACTGTCTCAGGAGTTTGCCTAAATTCATGTTCATTGCATTGGTGGATCTATGTAACCATCTCATCTTCTGCTGCATCCATCTTCTTCTGTCTTTAACCTTTCCCAACATCAGGGTTTTTCCCAAGGAGTCTTCTCTTCTCGTTTGGTGGTCAAAGTATTTGAACTTTAGCTTCAGCATCTGTCCTTCCAAAAAACAGTCAGGGTTGATTGGCTGGCCACATTGTAATATCATTAAACCAAATCAGAATGGAAGAGGGAAGTGATACATGCCTGTTTAATCAGATCAGGAGGCATAGCTGCATATACAATAAATATCTCAGAGGAAATGTTTTCTCTCTGTATCCATGTCTTCCCTCCCTCTACAAACATAATATAGATATTATGTATGTTATGATGAATAGAAATAGAATAGAATAACAGGGTTGGAAGGGATCTTGGAGGTCTTCTACTCCAACCCCCTGCTTAGGCAGGAAACCTTATACCATTTTAGACACATGGTTATCCAATCTATTCCAGTGTTGGAGCATTCACAACTTCTGGAGGCAAGTTGTTCCACTGATTAATTGTTCTAAATGTCAGGAAATTTCTCCTTAGTTCTAAGTTGCTTCTCTCCTTGATTAGTTTCCACCCATTGCTTCTTGTCCTGCCTTCAGGTGCTTTGGAGAAGAGCTGAACTCCCTTTTCTTTGTGGCAACCCCTGAGATATTGGAACACCGCTATCATGTCTTCCCTAGTACTCCTTTTAAACTAGACATTAAACTAGACATACCCAGTTCCTGCAACCGCTCTTCATATGTTTTAGCCTCCAGTCCTCTAATCATCTTTGTTGCTCTTCTCTGCACTCATTTAGTAAGACATAATTACATTAGCTGAGCCACAACAGTTGATTGTACTGTATTTATTGCCATCCTTCTTTCTCTCTCTTTTTTCAACGTAAAATGTACCTCTCTTCTGGATGCTATTCCCCATCAGCTTTAATACCACCCTGTCCCATGGAATGCTGCATCACCATCAACGACACCATCTCTGTGTCATTTTAACTTGTCTCTGTGTCGTTTTAACTTGTCTTATTTNAACGATCAGCCAATCGGCTGTCGAGCGCTTTCCCGCTCAAACCTCTAGTCAGCGCAAGCTCAGAACACAACACTTACACTTATGCATGTCTCATGATTTGGTGAAATTACATTGGTACCACACACAAGATACATACTGATCATATTTATAGGTAACATATCTGTGAAAATCTATTTTTTAAATGTGGTGTTTGTATATACCAGTTATTGTATCTAGATAACTGCTGTATCATTTCTAATAACTGCTCCTATAGTTAAGAGTGAATATATTTTGTGGAACACAAAACTACTTCTGTTTTCGGATTTCAAGACCATGTGAAATATGAACAATTCAGCAGGATTTGCTACAATATTCTTTGTGGGACAGTTTCCTGCACAATCTCACAAAACCAATACAGAATATGTCCCTCCTAGTTCATAGACTTACTACTGCATAAGATGTTTAAGAGAAGCAACCTAAAGATATATTTCAATACAGCAAATGTCATGGTTTTTGGGTTGCTGGAAACTCAAAGTAAATGCTGGTTTCCATAAAAAAATTATGGTCAATTATGATCACATGATTCTAGGATGCTGCAAATGATGGCAGATAAAGTGCCAAGTGCCTCAAATGTGGTTATAGGAGAGCAGTGGGGTGTGGCTATCAGAACTTCAAATCTGGATTATATGTCTGCTTAATAACTGCTGCAAGAAAGGTCATAATTTCAGGCATAGTTACATGGCGATCCACTTATCATCCGGCATGACTTAGAACTGTAAGTCAGACTCGGATAGTCTTCAATGATCTGTAATCAATTTCAGTCTCAAATCAGTCAATACAAATTTAATTTTCTTAAAGACTTATGACCACTGACGTAACATTATTGGAAGTTCCATTTCTTTAATCTTTAATTGATACATCCTAGTGATAACCTCTTTAAAAATGTTATTGAACTTTTCTTACAGATATGTTGTGGATTTAACTTCCATCATGATTTCTATCAAAGACCTCCAATACTTTTGAGGTGGTCAATGCATTGGGCTCATTATATTAAGCTGTCAAAGCATACTTAAGTTGAATATACTGCTACTGTTATGAACTAGGGAGATCAAATTAAGTTTGAAGCTGAGAAAAATCCTTGACACAATCTTTATATAGTAACCGATTTATTATATTATCCTAGCTTCTACCCATACATCACAACATGGGCAATCTCAAATAACAATATGCAATGTTTGGTTTGTTTGTTTAATGTCTAAATATGTTCTTGCTGCTGTATGCTAACAGGAGAGGAGATAACTCCTCAAATATTAATGTACTTTAATATCAGATCCTGAAACTAGATGCAAATTTGTATAATAATCTAATCAGGCACCCTTTAATTGTCTCTGTGTTGACAGAAATATGTTTGTATCAGTTGTGCATGCCTATAGGAATTTCTGTTGGCAGGGGTATCAGAAACTTACTTTTAAGTATTTGGATCAATGTTTATTTATTTATTCATTCATCAAATGTAAACATCGCCACTTTCACTATGCAAGTACCTGGGGGCGGTTTAATTTGGCTCTATTTAAGGGATTAAAAAAACTTGTGTTTTTTTCAGAGTTTTATCTACCTTACTGAAAGTGCAAGCAAAGCCTATTCTAAGAATTACTTAAACCAATTATCGTTGTGCATCAAACTGGAAAAGCAAAACTAGTGTTATTTCCATTTTATAACATATACTCTAGAATATGAATTTTCCTTGAAAAATAAACAGGATGTCCTCAGAATTGGGAATATGGTTTTAGTCATTTCAGTCCCATTAGCATTAATTGGTGTGGATTTCAGCAGGAGATTCAATCTTTTGAATAGTAACTGGAGCCCTGTTAGAACATTTGGAATGATAATTAACAGTACTCTATGCACATAAAATAATCTTTTTAGCTGCTGTCCTGGAAGGAAACACTGGAGTACTTGCCTGGCCAGGTGACAGGCAAAGTAATATACAAGGGAATGAGAAAGAAGAACAGCAGCTGTATCCAGACAGCAGAATAGTTAGAGCTGGTTTAATACTAAATAGGAATCACAGCAGATGAGAAGACAGAACAGAGAAGAGGCTATTTTAAGGAAGAGCCAGGTTTGTCTATGTTATAAATGGATCTCAGTTTCAGGCCAGATTAAATATCAATGTTCCCCTTAAACTTCTGTCGGAATTTTCTTTTTCTGAAGATGATGAAAGTTCTCCATTCAAGGTCTCTACTCAAGCTTAGATAATGGCAGTGGGCAAAAGTTTCAGGGAATTGGAAATGACCTGTTAATCTAATTCTATGGCTTGATAAATCTTTGGTACTCCCACCGTGGCATTTCTTCTGTCCCTCAAAGAAAGGTGGTATATGATCCGTGACTGTCTTGCTGACCTCCCAACACAGGGAAGAAGGAGCAAAACATTCACCATTTCTTTACAGTTGCTACAGGTCTGAAAACTAATATTCCCTTGCCTCATCTCCATGAAAAGAGAAATAGAAAAAATGACAGGTATCCCCCATCTTGTATGTGGTGGCCATTCATTTGATTGCATTTTTAAAAATCTGAGCAGCTTCTGTTCAGGGGAGCTGCAAAGTTGTCAAGCCATCTTTCCTCTGGCTGAAACCCTTGAGGTGGGAGAAAAGTTGAGGCAAGAGTTTCTGAATGACTAAAGCAGTATTGTGCCTGTTTGGGGCATTTGTGCGACATTGCAATGCAGGCAAAAGAGATATGGGGCTTGCATTGTGATACACCAATGCTTCTGACCATTCATTCATTAATTCATTCATTCATTTCTTAGTATTTTTACAAATAACTCAAGATGTCAAAGATATTCAACACACCTTCTTCCTCCTATTTTCCCACAACCATCCTGTGAGGTGGTTGCACTGAGAGTGAGTGACTGGTCCAAGGTCATCCAGCTGGCTTTCATGGCTAAGGAGAGATTTGAAATCATTGTTTTCCATTTGGTAGCCTAGAGCC